TTGGGAGAGGGGGCCTGTGGGAGAGGCCACCCATCTTCTGCACAGTCCCAACCCGACACCCCAGCAGGCACACTCCTTCAGAGCAGGGGCCTCCACCCCTAACCTGCTTCAGTGACAGATGTGATGTTGTCAGACCCCTGCTTGTGGCATGAATTATGGCCCCTCTCCTAATTCAGGGCACAACAATCCCCAAGGCAAAAGCAAAAAGGGTCAGTGCTTGCCTCAGCTAAGCTAAGGCTTAGAAATACAGGGCGAATTAGTGTGCTCCTACAGAGGGGTGACAGGCAGGCTGTGAGTGCTCACAACAGAGAGGAAAACGGAGCTGTGGTGGGTGTGATGGCATAGGCCTCTGCCCTCACATGTGAAGTAGCGCTTATGAAAGGGCTCCAGGTGGGCAGGAGCTCTCCTGACCTCCACCTTCTACCAAGCGAGGCTGTAACAATAAGGCCGCATCTTGAAAGCAGAGAGCAGCCACAGCAGGGAGCCATCTTCAGAGAGGTGGAAATACTTTTCTGCTCTTTATCTGTTACGCAGACTATGAGCATTCTTTGTTCATTTTACTGACTGACTGATTTTTGCAATGCTAGAGATTGAATCCGGAGCCTTAAGAATGCTACGAAAGTGCCTGACCACTGAGCTACAGCACCAGTCCTAAGGTATATTTTTATAGTAACAACACAAAGAGAGAGAGAGAAACCTGAAGCAGCTAACATACTCTTTCACCGAGTTATCGTAAGAAATATAAGTAAAGGGCTTGGCACCATGGGGAGCCTGTGGGCTGTGCTCAGTGGAGGTGGTTCTCACTAACACAGCTGGTGTAGGGACAGAGTCATTATCTGACCCACTTTTCTGTCCACTCCTAACCACTCTGAAAAAGATCTGCCATATACTTATTCCCTGGGGCAGAAAAGAAAGTCCTTTAACCCGTGGTGGGCTCTGGCCAGGCTGCCCACATCAGTACCTAAGGATGCAGCCACACAGCCATTACACGCATGCTTGCTGCCCTCCCCAGCCCACCCCACCGGGCTTCAGAAAGAACCTGCCAAACACATCACTGTTGTTATTGTTTAAGCTAGAGGTTTCATCTGTCTCTCTTCAAAGTTAGTAAGTACTTTTCATGCTGTGTTGGTCCACACAAACCTCTCCCTTCTCTGATCTCACACAGGCCTTGGTCAGGACCACACAGCTCAGCAGTGAATGATTTCACACAGACTGAGGGACTTTCCAGAAAAACTGTGCGTGGCCCAAAGGTGATTAGCACAGGTGGCCTTTACAATGCACAAATGAACAACTGCCCCCCCAGCACATACACACACACACACACACACACACACGTGCACACACTGGCACGTCCGCGTGTACACATAGACACACACTTTCCTTCTTTTAGGAAAACCGATGCCCCCCCCCGAACTCATTTTATACCAGCAAATGGTATAAAGCATGAGTCAGAGGTAACCCACCTCAATGCTCATTCCCCATGTGCTAAGAGGCATGCTTTATGTTAACTCAACCATGACATGGTCCACTTCCAGTCATCTTTGGTAATGTCTGATCCCTGCACAGTACTGTAAACAGACAAGGACTGAACTAGGCCTCTGTTTTGTTTGTTTCCTTAAAAAGGAAGTAACCGGTGATCCTGAGGCTGTGACATTTTATCTGCTAACCCTGCAAAACTGACAGGAGAAACATGATGTGTCTTCCCAAACACAATGGACTTCCGTGCACAAGTCTCTCCTCTTGGTTCCAAAACATCAATCATTGATTTCAACAGGCGACAGCTCTGGCTCCAGTTCTCCTTTTCAACATGCAGAGGGCCCAGTGGTCAGCAGCAGAGGCTGGTCAGAAGCATGCCCTTGTTTGGCAGCTCCAAGCAGGGAGGTGTGAGAGAGGGTTCTTGTCTGTGCCATCTCTTTAGACATTCAGTCACTCGGAGGCTTCAAAAGCCCATACCATTCCTAGGGAGCATACTGGCTCATGCCCTCAACCCAACCCTCATGGCCATTATCCCAACATGTAAGCTCTCAGCTTGCTGCTCCAGGGCCATGCTGGCCTGCCCACCGTGCTCCCTGCCAACATGGTCATGGCCTCGCCCTCTGAGACTGTCAAGACCCCAGTTAAATGCTGTATTTTGTAAGTTAGTTACCTTGGTCGCTATGTCTAATCCTAGCATTTGAAAAGTAACTAAGACATGCCCCCAACAATTGCCCTCTATTAAAGAACTGAATCAAATGACGCATGGCAGCCCTGCCAGGCAGGCTCCACCCTTTTATTCTACATTCTTAGCCTTCGGAAACAAAACTCCAACGTCTGTGATGCTCCTGCAGCCTTATAAAGAAGCAATGCTGACTTCTAGCAGTGGCAAACAGTTATAGGACTGTCTGGGCAGAGCCTGAGGTCTCCATAAAGGGAAACCAATATTGGCAGGAGGAACAAAGAAACAGAAGGGCCTCGCCTCCCACTCAGAGGAAGTTGGAAGCCCGTCCCTTAATTAAGTGCGTGATATATCACCCTCGAATCTGCAACCCTGCTTCTCAGCCATCCCTTCCTCCCGGCTTCACCTCAGCCCTGTGTATGCGTGTTCCAAGACTTGCCTTGAAAATGGGCATTCAGCAGGGTCTATGGGTGGGGAAAGGTGGGCACCTGAAGGAAGAAAGCCCAGATGTGGGAGGGGGTAGAAGTATTCCTTGACTAACTAGAACACACCCACGAGCGCCAGGGCCCATTGAGCAATGCCTCAACTTTCTCCTTTACTCCTGACTCACTCTGATGGTCCTGGGAGGCCAGGGAGCTCCCATTTCAGATGAACATCCCATGTGAGAAGTGCATTCTACTGTGGACTGTCCACTCTGCCTACAGCTCCTTGCCGCTCTAGTGACAAAGCTCTGAGGAGGAAGGGGAGTCCGTTTAAGATACTCTTGTAGTGAGGTTTGCAACCCCTGATACATGAGTTACTAAAATGGGTCCCAAGCCCTCCAAGAGTGGGGGAATTCAGTGACATACAAGGAAGAGAGAAACAGGAAATGACTTCACTAAAAACCCATTTGAAAAAATAACAGCTTTCATTAGCTGGAGACAGTGCTTGCCTTGCATGCACTGGGCCTGGATGTGATGCTTGCATCTCTGCTGCCAACAAAGAAAACAAAGCTCAAACAGCAGTACCCATAGTCATAGTCCTACACACTTCCTGTCTGCCTAGCACGCATGCGGAAGAAATGAGACTACTGTGGTTAAGTTTTTTTCAAAGCAACTTTCTTTTAAAAATATATTACTGTGTTGGAAAAAAAAAAAAAAAAAAAAAAGGGAGCCACCCTGTAATCCCAGAATCCTGAAGTTGCGGAAAGTTAACAACTCTGTCTCTTTTAGATTGTTTTAAACGACTATTGCCAGAAGTTGCAGAAAGTTAACAACTCTGCCCCTTTCAGATTGTTTTAAATGACTATTGCCATTACGCTTGTGTCCACACTTCTCTGAAATAAGTTCTGTACCACTGTGATGACTCCATGGAGCATTAGGGGAGAAGGCAGCAATCTGTAACAGGGTTCCCCTTACCTCAGGGCCTGCTTTCTCTAGTAGGCTCCATGGGAGGCTCAAGTTTCTAAACAGGAAATGTGCTGTGGCCATCAGGAACTGGGTGAGAGATATCCACAGCTACTTACCCTGATCTGTCTTATCAATCCGCAAAGTGCATTTGTGAGTTGATGCCTGGGACTTTCAGGGCTCCCTAAGTGGCTCCTCCCGGCCATGGCTACTCTGTGTGCATCTTCCTGGACTGACTCTACTCACTGCTCTCCAGCAACACCGAGGCCCTGCTGCCTCAGTCCTTTGCTTAGCTCCTACCAGCATCTCTTCTTTGTTCATTTCCCCATGTCTACTCCTTAACCCTTTGAGATCTAGCTCACAGCCAGGGAACTTTCCCTCTATATTACTGCTCTTCTGAAGAGGATCTGGTCTTTATCTATTCACTTCAATACCATGACACCTTTCTACCGCCTAGAGGACTTAAGAGCAGGCCTCTTCTCTCTGACTTCACAGTGCACATACCCATCAAGGGTCAAGTCTTTTGCGGACTCACCTTCATATTTCCATAAAGCCTCCAAGTACTCAGTAACAGCTTTTTAAAGAACCTCCCTTGAGCTCTGTGCTGCTAGCAGAGAAGCATGCATCCATAGAACTCCTTGGATGTGTGCCTGCTTTGGGTGTCAGAGTCCAGTGAGAGGGTCCTGCCCCAAGTCCTGCCTAGAGAACCAATCCTCAGACTTAAGAGCACAGCCTCCTGGGTGCACGTATGGCGCTGGACAGCCCAAGACAGTTACTGGGGGACAGGAATCCCAGGAAGCAGCAAGGCCCAGGAAGAAACAGAGAAAAGGTATTTTCATTTATTCAGGTCACCTTCAGGCACATACACCTGGAAGACTTAGGGTCACGGTGAGATGTGGGCATGGTGTTGAGGACAAAAATGCCAAGTTGACCATACTGCCACCATCACATTACAACTGAAGGTAGCTGGTGGTTTGGGAAGGAGCTGGGGGAGTCAGAGCCTTTGTTTCATATGATTCCAGGCTGAGGTAGGAGGATGGGCTCAGGAAGAGGCTCAGGATGCTAGAGGCAGACCTACTTCTACTGGAGCAGGTGGGAGAAGCAGGCAGGGAAGCAGGCAGGCAGGGAGGCACTCTCTTCTCTGCTTCTTGGGAAGAATGTTGAGGGCTGAGGACAACTGCTGACTGCTCTGTTGTGCCTGGACAGGACTGACTTACCAGCTCAGTCTCCCAGGGGGAGTAGGTTCCCTTATTTTGGGTTCCAAGCTGTTGGAGCCCCATTGCTCAGGCAGCTACGGGCAGTAAACTGATGAGGGCAGAGATTGTGTGGTACTAACCTACACACAAATCCTTGTACAGCCATGAGTGGGGTTGAATGGTACTTCGGAGGGAAAGAGTTCAGAATCTTCATCTTGAAACATCACAGGAAGTCCATTAAGAATATGAAACCATCAGCCTTACCATTCCTGGGCTTCCACAGTAGCAGACAGGGCAGGGTATATAAAATGGGTGGCCATTTTAACCGGGAGATGTGGCCCACACATCTGTTGCATTTGCTTGAAGCCTCAAGTGAGGGATCCACACAGAAGCAGCAGAAGTCTGAAGTTCTGCTGACCACAGGTGTCCTGGGGCAGGCTGTCAGCAGGTCTGACCACCTTAGCACGAGAGTCAAGCCAGAGACAAAGAAGCACTCCAGTAAGTTCTGGGCCATTTTCTTAAACGTGTGTGTTTAAACACATCAGAACTAAAAGCAAAGGCAACTAATTGGCCACCTCAACAGGCTGCAGCTGTATGTCAGTCTGCTTTCCAGAAACTAGGTCAGTCACTTAGCCGCTCTTCCCTTTGGAAAAAAAAATCTCTAATGAAAATATGGAATTCATCTGCATTGCAACCCCAAGTGGAGAGCAGACCCTTTTCCTCTCCGCATGGCTGCTTACTCTTTTTTTCTCAAGGACGATGAGTGAAAACATTCCCTGGTAGGAATTCTAACAGTCTCTAGGAGAAAGCACTGATGAGCTGCTTGTCCTGGTAATGTGGATAACACATGCTCCCCTGCCTCCAGGTTTGTGACTGTGCCTGGTGTGTGTGTGTGTGTGTGTGTGTGTGTGTGTGTGTGTGTGTGTAGAAGAGAGGGAAGGGAAAAAGAGAGAGAAAGAGAGAGAGGGAGGAATGAAGGAATGAAGAGGTTAGCAATCATGGATGAGCAGATATTCTGCAGTAAGATGCAGTTTTCTTGGGTATATGTAAAAGTGTGTGTGTTTGTGGAATGACAAGGTTAGAATAGCAGTTAACTGAGTAGATATTTCTGTAGTAAGATGCAGTGCTCTTGGGTATATGTCCAAGAGTGGTATAGTGAGCCTTTGGATTTCTGAGGAAACGCCACATTGATTCCTGCAATGCATGAGTGTTCCCTTTCCTGCATCCTCATCAGCACCTATTGTCATTTGTTTTATTAATCTTAGTCATTTTGACTAGGACAAGATGAAATCTCAAAGTAGTTTAAATATGCATTTCCCTGATAACCTAGGAGGTTGAGCATTTTATTAAAGAGTTTCCCAGCCATTTGTGTTTTATCTTTTGAGAACACTCTGTTTATTGGGTTGTTTTCTTGATGTTCAGTTATTTTTTTAATTCTTTATATATTCCAGATCAATATATTTTCAACCCTCCTAATGCTGCAACCCTTTAATACAGTTCCTCATGCCGGGGTGACCCTCAACCATAAAATTATTTTGTTGATACATAACTGTAATTTTGCTACTGTTATGAATTGTAATGTAGTATCTGCTATGCTACCACCAAAGGGGTTGCGACCCACAGGCTGGGATAGTTGTAGATAGTAACCCTCTGTCCAATATATACTTGGTAAAGACTTCATCTCGTTCTATAAGTTGACACTTTATATAAATGATGGTGTTCCTTGTTGCACAAAGCTTCTCAGCTTTATGAAGTCCCATTTATTAACTGCTGGTCATAATGTTTGTGCTACCAATGTCCTGTTCATTAAGTCCTTTCTTATGCTAATGAGCTCAAGCATATCAGCCAGTGCAATCACTCAACCTTCATCAGAGGAGCTTCTTGCAGTATATGGTAATTAACTAGAAAATGTGAGAGACTTTGGACCACTCAGTCCTAAATGGGATGTCTTTTTGTTTTGTTTTGTTTTGTTTTGTTTTGTTTTTCACAGCAGGGTTTCCTCTTTGTAGCCTTGGTTGTCCTAGACTTGCTTTGTAGACCAAGCAGGCCTTGAACTCATAGAGATCTGCCTGTCTCTGCTTCCCCAAGTGATGGCCTTACAGGTGTGCACCACCATGCCCGGCTTTTAATGGGATATCTTTATCAAACTCTCCCCTCATGGCTCAGTATCTATGCAGAAGAGGAAATGGAAACACTGTAAGGGTTAATGACGGTGAGTAACTCCAAGGAAACAGTGTCTTCCAAACACAACAGGCCTCAAGCCAGATAAAATCCCAACACAGAGGAGAAGAGGGCATAAAGTTCTATGCCTTGTCAAGAAGTTATTTGTAATTGATACCTGCTGGGAAAGAGAGAATCTGTTTTCTCCAATGGAGTAGCACTGTGTATATAAACCCCACTCCAAGGTAGGCCTCATGCTCAGAGCTAGCTGGCTGACACAAAACAGACTCCATGTTTTGTTGTTGTTTGTTATGGTTTTATGTTTCCTATATTGTTTTGTTTTCTTGTTCTTTTTGTCTTTTTTTGAGAGACAAAGACATGAAGTTGGGTTAGCACAGAGGTGGGGAGGATCTAAGAGGAGTTTGAGGAGGACAAAGATATTATCAAAACATAATCTATGAAAAAATTTGTAAGTAATTAAAAATAAAATTAAAAACTAATGTATAACAAATACATATCCATGGAGTGTTCAGCCACAAAGGCAATGTTTCTAACACACGAGGTCTTCCCCACAAGGCTCAAGGACCACTGAGGAAGAAGGGTTGGGGGAATTCTAAGAGTCAAAGGTTGGGGAGGACTGCAGTGAAAGAGTCTTTTGGACACCACAGGACCACTGCCCTCATGAACTCAGAATAGCAGTGGCTGCCTGCCCAAGACAAAGATTTGCAAGCCAGTCAACACGCCAAGATGGAGCAGGTAGAGCCCATGAGAGGCCCTGCCTCCTAGCTGAGGAGATACTGACGGCTGATGGCTTCTGGGGAAAGGAGAATCAGTTTTCTTTAAGGCTGTGGTTCTTAAAGAAAGACCACATTCTAGTGATGGTCCCACCTGCATTAGCAAATGAGGAGTACAAATCAGACTTAAGGAGTTATTAAAATAAAAACAGGGGCATGAACTTGGGAGTGGGGGGAAGAGGGGATGAATTGAAGAGAACTTAGGGAGAAGATGGCAAATATGATCAAAACACAACTGTGTACATATATGAAATTCTCGAAGAACTAATGGAATGAGAGCTAACAGTTACAATATGGTAGACCATTCCAGGGAATAAAATCAACTCAAAGAAACCCACCCTCAGCCATCGATGACCTGTACCGTACAGGTGTGACTGAGCAAATCACTCAATCTCTGAGCCTCCGTTTTCCCTCCTGTAACAGAACTGTCATTTTCTAGGATACAGAAAGCATCCTAGACACCGTGCCCAGCACACAGAAAGCTCTCAATAAATGACACTGTCTACCTCAAGATTTCCACAAACCCCAACACTGGTGTTCGCTGGTGCCTGCATAAGACAATGCAAGGAGAGTCACCTGCACATACGACCACAGCTGTTTCATTTCTTCTGGCACTGAAAGGTGGCAGTCTGCATGTCCTGTTGACACTGGCTGCGAGTTTCCTGGCGACAGAGCAGTTACACAGGAACATGTATTTGTTTAGTTCTTTGCGTTTGCTGCTCCCAAATGTCTTGGGATTGATCTATGTGGATCTCAGAAATGTAATCGTTAGCTGCCGGGCTGAAGAGGTCTCTCTCTCTGTGTTTGTTTTCACTAGAAGTCAAGCCTCTGAACCTGTGGTTTGCTAACTTCCCTTCTAAGCAAGGAACACTATTTATCAAACAAAATTTGACAAGCAAGCCTGGTTCTGTATATAATGAGATGAAAGCAGAGCTGTTCCAATTTAAAACCGGGATGGGGGTTGTTAAGAGGCCTCTTTCCCTAAACTCATGTACCCCCTAAACATGCCCCTAGGACCTGGAACATTTTGTAGAACACACTCAGAAAAACACTGCTTTCAATCTGTAATCTAGCTTAAATCCCATGTCCTACAAACTCCACCAGCCTACACTGGGAAGAGTCCCACTTCCTAAACATCCCTGACCTGGCTCCTTTCCTTTTATTGACTACACACTGAGTTACGTCACCCCCCACCAAGTACTCTAGAATCAATGCTGAATGGATACACCACCTGTGTGTATGACTTACAATGTCATGACTATTAGCTTCTTGAGGAGCCATATTCCATTGACAGCTCCTTGTCAATACTAGGTAATGGTAAATAAACCAAGGTCAACCCAACCTACCGAAAACTCACAAAAGAAATCCAAACAATAGTTAATAAAAATGCATATCCACTCCTTAAGATATTTATGAAGTATCAACATAGTACAGCCTCCACACGTATGAAGTGTAACAGGGACAGAAAATCAGACAGCAATTCAGAGCAGGGAACAGAAAGCTGAAGCAGCTGGAGAAAGTCATTATTCCAAAAAACACAGGCCAGGAAGCAGGGCCCTCCTCCTTGGCTTAATTGTGGCTCAGCGGAAGCATGACATGAGTCTGAGTGTGGGAATAGAAGAGGCAGAGGACGAACTGCTCAGGGTGGTCTGAGGGAGACCAGCCAGGAGTGATGGGGCTGGAGCCAAACGAAAAAGAAAAAAATTCCAAACAATCATGAGGAAAATTTTTCCTTTTCAGAAAATGCTGCTCTGCCTCCCCAGGGACAGCTGGAAGACTCCCAGCCTGAGTTCTTTGGAAGCAGATTTACAAAGCGCTACAAGGGGATCCCAAGAGGGATGGTTTGGTCTGGCCATAACAGAAGGCGAAGATTCAAGACCAAGCGAGTCTTTTCCATGATTCCTCGAGCTCTCTTGCTTCTTCCCAGCTTATCCCAGACATGCCTGGTCTGAGTAAAGCCGCCTGGATCCTCTGGCCTGATTGCTTCAGGGCCTGGACATAACTGTGTGGACCTCTGAGGAGACTCAGCCACAGTCTGAATTCCATGTTAGCCAGGGCCACCGGGTCTCAGTCACCAAGACAAACACCAGAAGTCATGTTTGAGGACCTGGTGCTGCTGGCCCAGACTCTCATTAGCTGGGCCTGGCCTCACTTACCTCTCCATTTCACCAGGTGCCTACTGAAAACAGCCCTCCTGGAGACATCTGCTATCAGCTTTGCCCCTTTGGAGTCAGGAATAATGAATCCTGCTCTTAATGGGAAAGTGTAGGATGTGAAACACTCACATCCTACAGCTGGACAGCGGATGGGGTGGATTTCAGCGGGTGGGATGTCCACTGAAATCTCATCATGCTGTATGAATGAGCCGTGACTGACGTGGTCACCCTCACAGGCAGCTGTCACACAGTCCTTGGGGGAGCCCTCTCCCAGTATTTTCCAGGCAGCACCTTCCCCAGCTCTACTTTGCTGGGTCACTCACTCTCTATCTATCTA